CAACCGACAGTGCAGATCCATTTTACTGGCTTCGGGTGATCTTGGCCTCAAATAGAGGAACGCTTATGGAGCTTGGCATTTCACCTATTGTGACGTCTGGTCTAATAATGCAATTATTAGCAGGCGCAAAAATCATTGAAGTGGGAGATACTCCAAAGGAACGCGCACTTTTCAATGGCGCACAGAAATGTTTGTTTAAGGAATTTTTTTTTTAGTAGGTCTTTATTAGTAGTTTTTGTTAACGTTTGAACCATCAATGTAAAGTCATATTCAGCGTAAGCACAAAACTCGTGCTTAGCGATTTCAGTATTCATTTCTTATCGCAATGTTCTGTAACTAGCATTGTGAATAGTGATCCATTTATTATCGTCAGTTACTCTATTTCTAGTGTTTGGTATGGTAATTACGATTGGACAAGCCATTGTTTATGTGGCATCTGGTTTGTATGGAGACCCTACGGAAATTGGTGCTGGTATTTGTTTGCTCATTGTTATTCAGTTGGTTGTAGCAGGTCTTATTGTTTTGCTTCTGGATGAGTTGTTACAGGTATGCATAGAACGATTTATATGTCAATATCTGTTGTAAAGAATTTTTTTCCGTACTTCGCTTCTTTTCTGAACAGACTGAGCATTTCTCTCGGTTCTTAAGATAGCAGCTTAATCAAACTAAATCGATTTTTTTATTCTTTCTTGCTGATCCGTAATTATAGTTGCACAACAGATTTTGAGATTATTTAAATGACATCATTTTAAGAAAGGATATGGACTAGGCTCGGGTATTTCATTGTTCATTGCAACAAATATTTGTGAGACAATTGTTTGGAAAGCTTTTTCACCAGCTACATTGAATACCGGTCGGGGCACCGAATTTGAAGGCGCGATCATTGCTCTTTTTCATTTGCTTGCTACCCGGAATGATAAAATTCGAGCATTGCGTGAAGCGTTTTATCGACCAAATCTGCCAAATCTGATGAATTTAATGGCTACGGTACTTGTGTTTGCTGTAGTCATATACTTTCAGGTTATTAATGTTTTTTCCAAATTTGGTCTTTAGTTTTTTCTGGAGATATGTATCAAAAGCTTTAAGGCAAAGTTACTCTAAAATGTTTTATTCCTAGGGATTCCGAGTTGATTTGCCAATCAAGAGTGCGCGGTATCGTGGGCAGTACAGTTCTTATCCAATTAAACTTTTTTATACGTCAAACATTCCAATCATCCTTCAATCTGCTCTCGTATCTAATTTATATGTAATTTCACAAGTAAGCTGACTTTCACTCAAATTCGTTTGATTTTTATTTGGTGTAATTTGATCTGGATAACATTGTTTCAATTGTTAGTGTGTATAAAATGTATTCTTTTTATCGATACTTTAAGTCTTTCATCCGCTGTTTATTATGTACCCTTACACATTAAGCTCCATTTTTTTAAACCATTAATTTAATCCAGGCCAATTTTGGCAATTCAGTTTATGCCTTATAGCTAGTCTTTTCACAAAATTTTCTTATTAACAAAAGAAGTCAAAAAGCTTCTTATAACAAGACAAAGTTGATTTTAGCAATACTGTATGTAAAAATTTTGAATTTCATACTTTTATTGACAAGTGTGCATTGTTATGGATGAAACGGAGAATTCCTTAGGGAATGTTTTCTAAAAGATATATTACATGAAATTCAGATGTTGGCAGCAAAGTTTGGCGGCAATATTCTGGTGAATTTGTTAGGTACGTGGTCAGATGCAGGCGGCTATCGAAGTTATCCAACCGGTGGCATTTGTTATTACTTGTCACCCCCAGAAACGCTGGCACATGTTATTGAGGATCCTATGCACTGCGTTGTATACATTGTTTTCATGTTAGGTTCATGCGCTTTCTTCTCAAAAACATGGATAGACGTATCTGGGAGTAGCGCCAAAGATGTGAGTTGCATTCTGAGATCTTTACATATCGGCTTTTATTGAATACAAGATTACACTGCTTCATAGACTTTTATTATTTCTTTATTATTGGCCGACAATTTAGGTTGCAAAACAGTTAAAAGAGCAACAAATGGTTATGAGAGGTCATCGCGAGAAATCAATGATTCATGAGTTAAATCGATATATTCCAACAGCAGCTGCATTTGGTGGTTTATGTATTGGAGCTTTATCAGTCACTGCTGATTTTATGGGTAATCGGTTATATGTTTTTAATATTGTTAAAAGAGCAGAAAATGGTTATACTCGTACTTACAGGGTGATAGACAAATTCACGTCCAGCATTCGTGACTTAAAGTATGTCATCTATTCCAGAAGGATGAATTTTCAGTTCTTGAATTGCTGATAAACTCCTTTTATTAACAGGAAAACAAGGCTTCTTTTACTGGTTGCCTTATTGCTGCTGACTACTAATGTTTGGATTTTCATAATGATTGCCAAAGATTGATCGGTTTTTCTCTGCTTTTGGATTTTCCGTTGCTAATATGACATATTTTCCAAACCGAAACTTTTTTTCTCGTATGAGTAAGATTTTGAATGATTTTCGGCGTATTCTGATATAAATCACGTTTAGATTTTATTTTAAGGTGCGATCGGCAGTGGTACTGGCATTTTGTTGGCAGTAACAATAATATACCAGTATTTTGAAATATTTGTTAAGGAGCAACAAGAAATGGGAGGTGTAGCGGGAATGTTTTTCTAATATTTTTTTATTGTTGAATATTTTTATCTTCTCAGTTTGTTTTATTAAGACCCATGACAGCAATCACTGCTGCAGTTATATATTCATTAATTTTTCTGTTTTTGCTAGCTCTGTCCATTATGTAAACATTATTCCAAAGAGCAAAGCTGATTGATTCTGTTAGCGAGCATGTGTGGTTTCTATTTTATTATATTTCTCATATAATTTTCATTTGTATTGTAGAAATAGTTGTCTTATATTCCGATATTTTTTAAATTCTGCTTGTGATGCTATAAAAACTACATAGGTTATTATTTGTAATTTGCTATTTTTCGTCGAGTGTATCATTATAGTAGTTCCACTGACGGTATTTGAACAGTTTTATCGCAACTAGAATTTATACTGTACTGAAAGACCGAATTTAACCGGTGAGAGATTACTTGACAGTATTTGATTTATATAAAATTTTTTACGAAATTACTGATAAGTACAATTCTTTGATAATTTTGTGCGAAACTGTCAGAATATTGTTACAAGTATTGAAAAGTTTTTCGTTAGGGGTTTTTAAACACTCCCGATTTTAAGCTTTTTTTCAGTAAACTAATTAGCAGGAGTTTTATCCTTGTGAGATTTTAGAAATCTTTTTTGTGCTTATTCTGAGTTCGTAAGGTCTTGTGGTGTCATGTGTGTGCAGCGTTCGTGCCAAAAAATAATTTTCATTCGGATATTATCCAAAAGCAAGGTGGTTTAGAATGATCGAAGTCTTTTTTAAATCTAAATTTAGAATGATGTGCTAGTTTTTTTATGTTCGTTGGAAGAATTTGGGTTGATTTGAGTCGTTTTTCACTTTTGATTTGCATTCGTGCTGATTAAGTTAAAAAAGCACCTTTCAGAAAAGACTGTGAAATTATTAGTGTTCACTTTTAGT